TGCAAGGCCCAGTGTCTTCAGAAAAAAAAAAAAAAATATATATATATATATATATATATATTCACAATTAATGATAAAATATACAAATTAGTGTATTTTAGCTGTTTGACAAATGTATTTATGTAAACCAAACATCTATCAAGATATCAAATAATGCTATCTCAAGAAAAAGTTTTCTGTAGCTTTCCCAGTCAACTTTGACTGGCCCTGCAGAGCTGAGGTAAATTCCCACTCTTTGTTTTTATTACTGTGCTTGCTAATTTTTAATTTCACCTTCATACAAGCTAGACTCATCTGAGAGGAGAGAACCTTGATTGAAAAAAATACTTTCACAAGATCAGGCTTTATGCAATTCTGTAGGACATTTTCTTTTCTTTCCTTTCCTTTTCTTTTCTTTTTTTTTAATTAATTCAATTTACATCTTCATCATAGGTCCATCTCTCCTCTTCTTCCAGCCCCACCCACCCTCCTGCATCTTCCCTCCCCCTATTTTTTCAGAATAGAGGAGCCCCCTTATCCAGACAACCTAGTTCAATTATTCACAAGGAGACTGAGTTCGCCTTCCTCCCCTGTGGCCTGGTAGCGCAGTCCCATCATGAGGAAGTGATCAAAAAGCAGGTAACATAGTCCATAGTGAGATATCTCCAACTGTTGGGCCCACATGAAGCCTAAGATGCCCATCAGGTATTTATGAGTAGAGGATCTACGTCCAGGCCACTGTCCTTGGTTGGTGCTTCAGACTACATAGGTCCCTCTGGGCCCTGGTTGATTGGCTTTGATGGTCCTGGTCCCCACTCTTCCACCATTACCTCTGTCTGTTCTATTTCCCCTTCTGATTGAGATTTACACATCCTCCCTAGGGTCCTCCTTGTTGCTTATCTTCACAGGGTCTGTACATTGTAGTATGTCTATGCTGTACTATATGACTAAAATCCACTTATAAGTGAGTACATACCATGTGTGTCTGAGTCTGAGATACCTCACTCAGGATGATCATTTCTAGTTCCATCCATTTGCCTACAAATTTCATGGTTTCTTTGTTTTTAGGGGCTGAGTAGTATTCCATTGTGTAAATGTACCACAGTTTCTGTATCCATTCCTCAGATGACGGACATCTAGGTTGTTTCCAGTTTTTTACTATTATGAATAAAGGTGCTATGGACGTGATTGAGCAAATGTCCTTGTATGGTGGTGCACCTTTCAGGTGTCTGCCCAGGAAGGTATAGCTGTGTCTTGATGTATAGCTATTTCCAGTTTTCTGAGAAAGTACCAGATTGATTTTCAAAGTGGTTGCATTAGACATTTTCTTAATTAGTGGTTGATGAGGAAAGGCCCAGCTTATTGCAAGTGGGATGGCCTGGGTTTTAGAAGAAAGTAGGCTGAGCAAACCATGAGGAACAAGCCAGTAAGCAGCACCCTTGCATGGCCTCTGTCTGCATCAGCTCCTGCCGTCAGATTTCTACCCAGACTGAGTTCCTGCTCAGGTCCAAATAAACTCTGGACAAATGGCTAGCTGTGGTGCCTATTAGCATATCAGAGCCCATGCTGGCCTCAAAGCTCTCTCAGCACCACAAATATGCCTGTTACAGAATTCATTCTGGCAACCTGACTCTTCTCACCTCCCTCCTCCCACCCCATCCCACCCACACACCAACATCTGCTCCCTCCCGTAAACTTCTCCAGCTCCTGGGCTTCCCTTTCCCCAGGTTCTCATTCCTATATAACTCTGCCATGTGTTCTCCTGGTCCTCTTTGCTCTTTCTTTTTGTCTTCTTCTCTTGGTCCCCCTCTCTCACTTTCCCCTTCTCTTTCTCTCCTCTCATGGTCCGGTTCAGTCTACTGGACACCTACCTTCTCTTCCTGCTCTGGACTCTTCCTCTGGCTCATATTTTATTGTAGATATGAGAGATTCTTTATATTTTATTGAAGATATGAGGATTAAGTCTCCCTCATATCTACAATAAAAACCTTGCCCCCTCAACCACACGTTGGAGTGGTGATGTCCTCACTTTATACATCATCAATGGATATGCAAGCCAAATAAATCCTTTACTCCCCAAGTTGCTTCCGGTCATGGTGTTTTATCACAGCAATGATAGCACATTTTTTATTTTCTTTCTTTCTTTTTTTACTGTGGTAGGAGCAGGCAAGTGCTCTACTACTGAGATGTTTATACTCTTCCCACCATAACATGTATTCAATAAGTATTCTCTATGTCTGGTTTATTTTATTCTGCTTTATATTTTTATAGTCATCTCTGCTAAGTGTCTTCATTGTCAGCTTGACTGGATCTAGAATCATGCAGGACAGTGGTTGTCAACCTTCTGAATGCTGTGACCCCTTAATACAGTTCCTCAGGTTCTGGTAACCCCTACCCATAAAAGTATTTTTGTTTTTATTGTTATTTCATAACTGTAATTTTGCTACTGTTATGAATCATAATGTAAATATTTGTGTTTTCCAGTGGTCTTAGGCAAACCCTGTGAAATGGTCATTTAACCCCCACCACACACACACAAGGGGTAGCAACCAACAGCGTGGAAACCTCTGAGCTAGGAGATTGAGGAGGCAGAGCTGTGGGTGTGTCTATGAGGGCTTTTCCAGAGAAGACCCAGGTTGACTGTGAGCAGTGCATTCATGAGACGGGAACCCAGCCAGAATGACAAGTGAGAAAGGTAGACCAATGTCCACATTCCCTGTCTCCTTGTCTCCTGGTTGCTCGTGGAGTGAGTAGTGCCTCCCTTCCACTGTCCCCACGCCAGCCATGACATCATGTACAAGCACACAGGACCATGGGCTGAGCACTCTGAAGCCGCAGACAAAAATACATTCTTCCTCTCTAAAGCTCTTTCTGCCAAGTTTTGGATCTCAGCCATGTGAAAACCATACTGTCTGAGTGTGTTAACAATTCACTCTTTCTGTTAGGGAATAGTAAACAAATTGGGCAAATATGCCACAGCTCAATTCTTTCTGAGTACTGATATGAATAGAGCATAAACATATGGCGCTCAGGCTGTGATGCATGTATGTATGTTTTCCTGTGTATAAATATGTAGGTGTGAATTGATGGTGCCTAGGGCAGATTTATATTTACCTTTACAAGAAGTTCCTAGAGCGACTTCTTGGAAATTTTTCTTGTTCTTAAATATGTTTGTGGATGCAGGTGTCTGTTGCTTCAGCCAGGCCAGGTGTGGACCCTTAACAATGTCCTTGGGTCCTAAGATAACTACTGCTGGGATGTCCTCCTTCCACTCTGTGGTAAACTAATGGCATCCACCATTGTTTACTTCAGCTAGAGTCAGAGACACTTTCTGGTTTCCACTTGACAGAATTAAAAAAAAAAAAAAAAAAGATGAACTTTCCTGACATATTGCAAACACAGAAGTGATGGTTGTTGCTTTCACACATTGAACACACCTGTCAATTGGCCCCAGGTCAAGAATTGGGAAATGCGGCTGCCACATGTCACCGTAATTACAGGTGATGAAGGGAAACGGAAATGTCCAAATGTTTTGGTGGTGGATTTTACCAGACACTTAAGGAAGAAATCATGATAGTTCTCAATAGACACTGAAATTGGACATCCTGATCACTCTTGTTCAGCTTCCCCCCCTCCCCCTTCTCTTCTGCCCTGTGTCCTCCCAGGTTCCTCCTCTCAGGTTTCTCTGTGTGATCGCTTCTGTCACTTTTGACATTCCATAGCTCAGACTTCAGCTACAGGGCAGCGCCTGGCTTTAAGGTGGGCTGAAAACGAGGAGGAAACCCCAGATTCTACTGATGGTCTGGTGATCCTTCCTACAGAGTACAATGTGAAGTGGTCAGCGCATTCACTGGCATGAGGTAAGCTTCACCACGGTAGCTGCCGTTGTCAGTGTTCTTACGGTCGTGTACGCTCCCCTCTGCACAGGTCAACTGTACTCTTTCCTGGAGCCTTGAGACAACTTGGGTAGATGTAGTTTAGGCAAGGGAGGCCCCAGGAGTCCAGAAGCCCGGTAAGGGGAGGGAGGGCACAGACACTGTATGGGGGCAGGACACAGATGGCAGGGAATTAAGGCTAGGGCATGGTGATAATCTGTCTCAAGAAGAAAAAGCCCGAAAGAAAACAACAAAAACACAAGCTGATCCACACTTGTAAATCAACGCCCAGTCAGAATAATAACACTCCCCCACTCGCCTGCCTGCTAGGAGCCCTAGTAACTTTCACGTACACGTGGATAACATGGGTACTATTGCAGGAAGCATTTTTTTTTTTTTTTTTTTTTGGTGGTGGTGGTGTTTTTTGTTTTGTTTTGTTTTTTGGCTTTCCCTGGAAGAACACCGCAGCAAGTATAAATTTGGCTTTATTTGTTTCTCCAAATTACCAAGGTAGTTCGGTGCACTTACTACACGTGAATAATTTTCTCCGTCAAGTTGCAATCTATCTAGAAAACGGGAGGCATTTTCTTTCCTAGAACTTAACTCCTTCCTCCAAAATGTTCTTTACCCCAGTCTCTGCGCTGATTGTCCAATCTTATCTCTGCAGTGTGCAATTGATATCTTGGGGGAACGAACTGATTGTTTTCCAACTCAAAGAGGACAAGCAAGTCGGGCTGAGCAAATGATTAAGTTCACTCATGGTGCAAAAGGACAGCCTCCAGGTGAGTGGATCTCAACCTTCCTAATGCTGTGACCCTTTAATACAGTTACTTCCTCATTCTGTGGTGACCCCAAATCATAATTTTTTTTCCTGCTGCTTCATCATTTTAATTTTATCAATTGTAATATGACTATCTGATAGGCAGGATATCTGGTATACCACCCCTATGAAAAGGTCTTACGGCCCAAAGGGTCGCGACCCACAGGTTGAGAAACACCCGTTTAGGTGTTACCTTCCAAGTGTGGTGCAAAGGTTCGCCCAGCAGCAGCGGCGGCAGGGTGCGTCGTGCCTGCTGGATGAGTCAGCAAGCAAGAGGTTAAATTAGAGAGCCTTGGCTTACTGGGTTAGAGCGTCCAGCCTTCAAGAGTTAACCCGCAGCAGGGTTCTGAAGAGCCGGGCAGAGGATTCACAAGGTTCCCGGCAGGCACTGTGGCTTAAAGGGAATGATACGCGGTTTTGAGTGAGCAGCTGCAGCAGCGGGTTTGGGTATGTGGCTTTGCTTTGATTGATGCTGTCTTGTTTTCTCTCAAGAGAACAAAGCAATGGTTGTTCAGGTTTGAAAACAAGTTCCCTTTGAGAAAGAGCAGTTGTCTGTTAGGCTGCTTCCTATCATGAAAATAAGAGCCCGGGGTGCCAGGGTGAGCGCTGGCAGGTTCCCCATCCGCTTTTAAGCTGTTCCTCGCATCCGTGGATTGATTTTAAACTGCTCTGAATTCTAGTGCTGCATGGTCAGGTCATTTGAATGTCATGATTGCAGTGGGATTCGAAAGATGTTTTTGCTGTCTCTCCTGTGAATCTATACTCGGAGGTATGGATTTGAAGTTGTTTGTTGAATTAGTGGAGACAGGCAGCAGAAATCTGTTTTCCTGCCCCGTTTTGGAAGACAGGCTTAAGACCCCAGACTCAGAGAGCAAACTTCTGTAAATCATCATAAGCCCGGCAAAGAAAGCATCCTGTGAGACAGGAAGCTCCCCCCTCTCCTACAACCTGGCTACTTTAGTCCCTGGTGTATGCAGTGTGACCTGAAACAACCTTCACTATGCCTTGTCCTCTAATCAGTCTCCAGACCCCTTGCTCATCTGGGGGTCACTGTTACTTCACTGTACCTTTATTTTGTTAGCGAAAAACATATCAGAAACTCAAAACAGACTAGAAATACCTTCAAAGATTTGAATTGGGTGGAATTTCAAGGAATGCAAGGCGTTAGCTTAGACTTTGTCAGGATCCCCTCTCCCTACACTCTGCATGGCCACAAGCGAAGATCACTGACTTTTTCTCAGTCCACAATACCAGCATGATGATCAAAATCAATATTCAAAGGCTTTTTGAATCACCCAGCATACTCTCTTCTACGTGTCCATAGTTTCTATTCATCTGTATTTCATCCCTCGAATTCCTTTGATAACTAAGTTTCTCTTTGGAAGATTTGAACACTGTTGAAAAACTTGGGCATGCTGTCACTCTCAGAGAGTGCCATGTAAATCAGCTTAATCCCTTTATCAGATCGCTTTGCCTGAAGCCACGGGTATTTGCTAAACTGAAGGATGAATGCTAGAACAAGGGGTATGGAGCCTGGGCTCTAAAAAGGCTTCTGGCTGCGGAGCAAAAGAATCGTGGGTGAGATGCTCAGAAGTGGTCAGGGATGGAATTTGGGGAAAAGAGGACCACTGTGGTGTGGAGATAGAAATCTAGAAGCATTGTACACAGTGACGGAGGGGAAGATATTTGCAAACTTCCAGGAATACATGGCGCAGTTAGAACCCAAGGGAATCACTGTTCAGATCTTCAACTCCTGTTTAATCTCTTTTCTAAATTTCCACCCTGGACTTGGACACCATATAGAATAAGAATACTCTCTCTCTTTCTCTCAGAGAGAGAGAGAGACAGAGACAGAGACAGAGAAAGATGGAGAGAGACAGAGACAGAGAGACCTTGTTTTTTACTTTAGGAAACAGTTTTTCCCTATTCAGTATAATGTCAACTACATGTTTATCATGCATACTCTTTATGTGGATATTTGTTTCTTATATTCCTACATATTCATGGATTTTTATCATGTTGGAATTTGCCAAAAGCTGTTTCTGCATCTATTGAGATAATTGTGTAGCTTCTATCTGCAAGTCTCTATATGTTCTGTATTACCTTTATTGATTTGCATATGTTGAAATCAACCTTGAACCCCTGGGCTGGTAACCAACTTAATCACAGTATATGATCTCCATGTTTTCATGAATACTCTTGGCAAAAATGTTAGTTTCTAAAAGATTTATTTTATTTTTATTATGTGTATGCATTTTTTTTTCCTGTAGGTATGTGAACAGGAGTATTGGTGTGCTTGGAGGCCAGAAGAGGGCTTTAGATCCTTAGGAGCTGGGTTTCCAGCTAGTTCTAAGCACCCTTGCTTGGGTGCTGGGAACCAAACTCAGGTCCTCTGGAAGAGCAGTCCACGCTTTTAATCACTGAGCCATCTCTTCAGGTCTGCAAGTATCTTGTTCACCTGTGCTCGTGAGGAAAATTGGCATACAGTCTGCTGTTGGCATCTGTGTCCTTCTCTGGTTTGGGTGTCAGGGAAATACTGTCTTCACAGAATGAGTCTGTTCTAGTTCTCCCCGGTCTCTCTTGGCAACAGTTTCAGGAGTGATGGTGGCTGAAGACTTGGTAGAAGCCAGTAGTGAGTCCCTATTTTCATTACTGTCTGACTCTTGTTGACTATGGAACTGTTTAAGGTTTTGATGTCTTCTTGATTTGATTTAGGCAGGTTATACCATGTACACAAATTTACCCATTTCTTCTCATCTGTCCCGTTTTTAGAATTGCATTTTCAAAAAGCCCCCGAGTGAACAGTTGGCTTTCTTTGGACTTTGTTATAACATCAACCTCTTTCATCTCTAATTTTATTATTCTGGAACTTTCTTTTTTTTGGCTAGTTTCATTAGAAGTTTGTCAATCTTTACCTTTTCAAAGAATCAATTTTGTATTTAATTGACTCACTGTGTTATTAATTCTTTAATTTCTGCCCTCATCATTTTTATTTCCAGCCTCCTATTGCTTTTGGGTTTGGACTGTTCTTCTTCTTCTAAAACCTTGAGGGTTCATCCTTGGTTATTTATTTCAGACATCTCTGACTTTTTTTTTTTAATGTAAACATTTAACTTTAACTTTACCTCTTAGAATTCTCTTATTTCTAACTCAAAAGTGCTGGTAAGTTGTGCTTAAATTGATTCTAGAAACATTTAAAAATCCCTTTTCTGATTTTGCTGTTGATCTGCTGCTCATTCAATAATATATTTTTCATCCTCCAAGTACTTTTATCCTTTCTGTGGTTTCGCTTCCTATTTATTTTTATTTCTGTGTCACTATTAACTTACTAGAAATTATTTTGATTATGTTGTACTTGTTAAAATTTGATTGCCTAACATTTATTCTTCTTTACAGGATATTCCACAAGGTATTGGAAAAAATGTGTATTCCACATCTGTTGGATGGAATACTCTGTATTCTATTTATTGAGTCAATTTGATCTCTGGTACGATTTAATTCAGAGGCTTCCTTTGTGTGTGTGGGGGGGTTGTTGTTATTGTCTGGTTTTGGTTTTGGTTTTTGGCTCAGATGACCTATTTAAAGACGAAACTAGGGTGTTGCTCTTACCTACTGTTACTGCATCATTCAAACATTTTATGCTCATTAGTGTCTTTAAATGGAATTGGTGGCTCCCCCATTCAATGAATTTATGTTTACAGTTGTTCTTTCCTGATTTTTTTTTTCCTTTATTGGCAGGAAGTAGCTTTCATCATCTCTTCTGCCAAATTTCAATTTGAAATATCTATCAAATCTCAGAATTACTCCACCAGGTTGTTTTCAGCTTCTATTAGCTTGAAAGACTGGCTTTCAAATGTTGTCAGTACGTGGGTGTCTTTACTAATGAGGTGTGGTTTTCTTGTAGGCAACAGTCAGTAAATCTTGATTGTAATCCACTTGGCTAGTTTGAATTTCTTTTCTGGTGATTTGAGGCAATTACATTCAAGGCAGTGTCTACTAATTCCAGTAATTTTTTCTTGTTTTCTGGTTGTCTGCATTGTTTTTATTCTTAAAAGGTTTATTTATTTTATTTGATGTATGTAAGTGTTTGTTTTCTTTACATGTATGTATGTGTGCCACATGCATACCTGGAACCCTCAAAAGTCAAAAGACAGCATTGGTTCCTCTGAAACTGGAGTTACAGATGGTTGGTTGTGAGCTGCCACGTGTTGGGGCTCGAACCAGGGTCCTCTGGAAGAGCAGCATATGCTCCTAAATGCGGAGCCCGCTTTCTAGCCCTGTTATTTTCTTCTGCCCTTGTTAGTGTTAGTTAGTGTTAGGAATTCTAGTTTACTGTGCTACACGTGGTTAATTCATTTCTAGCTTTCCTTTGCTGTTTATTCCTCTCAGGAAGTCCACTCCTTCTTGTGCTGTCATGATTCAGAGTCTGCCTTCTTTCTTCGTAGTGTTAGTGTCTTCAGCAGCTACAGTGGGTGGTCATGAGCTGCCTTAGTGTGCGCTTGTCTTGGAATATCCTTATTCCTTCATCAACTTCAAGAGTTAGCTTTGCTGCGTATAACATTTTGGTTGACCGGTATATACTTTCAGGGATACATCGTTTCATGGATTCCTGGCTTCTAGGGTTGCTAGTATGAGAGCTGGTGTTATTCTGTTTGCCTTTCTAGGCAACGTAGTGTTTTCCCCTTAGAGATCTTAACATTGTTTCTTTGCTTTGTATTTTTGATGTATTGATTAGAGTATGTGTGGGGAAGTTTTTCTCTGGCCATGTCTATTTGGGGTTATAAATGCCTCTTATGTTAAATGTCCATTTTTAAATCTAGTTGTAAGAAATTTCTGCTTTAATTTTGTTGAACAAATTATCTGTGTCTTTAGTTTTTAATCTTGCCTCTTTCTACCCACTGTATTTTCAGGTTTGTTATTTTGATCACATCTCAGAGTCCTTGGACTTTGTGGTCATGCTCATGTTTGTTTGCTTGTGTGTGTGTGTTTGGTGTTTGAATGTAGAATACTTCTGCCTTTGTCTTTTATCTTTGATATTTTCCTCCTCTTCTTGGTTGAGTCTGTTTGTTATGCTTTTCTCTGTGTTTGCTATTTGATTCACTGAGTCTTTCTTTCCTATCACTTTTATCTGTTTGAAAAATCTCAATTTCCTTGTGCTTTGATCATGTTAGCAACTTCCTCTTGGAGAAGTTTGACCAAGATTAAGTACAAGTTTTGGATTTTCCGCTTAAAACTCCTGAGTCTTCTGCCTGACACTAATAAAGTGTCTTGCTCTATATTTATTGAGAAGCACAGAAAACATGGCATGGAGAATAGATGAGGGATTCTTCATAGAGTTTTATGAGGAAGAAGCTAGTTACTGACACAACTCACCCAGAATAGCAATCAAGACTGCAAACACTTACTATTAACTTATATCTACATGTTTTCTCCAACATTTATGAGAT